GAGAGAGAGAGAGAGAGAGAGAGAGAGAGAGAGAGAGAGAGAGAGAGAGAGAGAGAGAACTGTAAAACATTAAGGTGCATTTATGTTTCTTTTATGTGTGTGAATGTTTGCCTGCATGTATGAATATGCACCACATGTATCTCCGGTGTCTTTGGAGACCAGAAAATGGCATCTGACCTCCATGTAGATGCTGGGAACTGAACCCTGATCCTCTGCAAGAGCAGGAGGCACTCTTAGTTGCTGAGCAATCTTTCCAGGAAACATATTTAATCAAGAGAGGAACATTAGGTGTGTTCAGATACACAGAGGAACAGGGTTCCCTGAACTGCAGAAATGCTAAGGAAAGCAGTTGAACAGCAGGCAAGAAAAATAAGCAGGGATGACACTCTGCACTGAATAATGCAGCAGTTGCTCTGTGTGCGTGCGTGTGTGTGTGTGTGTGTGTGTGTGTGTGTGTGTGTGTGTGTGTGTGCGCGCACGCAGACATGCACATGATTAACACAGCTATTTGGAAGGCTTACCTATGCCAGTTTCCCTGTTAAAAACTTGGTCTTCAAAAGTGAAGAAAATGTACTTTTTAAAAAAGAAAAATATGGTGATAATTTATTTGTGCTGAAATATGATCTTATTTGTATGTTAATAAATAAAGTTGCCTGGGGGTCAAAGCCAAAAGCAAGCCATTTAGCAGAAGTCTGGTGGTGGTGGCACACGCCCTTATTCCTGATCACATGGCAGGCAGAGTCTCTGTGTGGTCAAGGACACAGACCAAGTGGTGACCCGAACCTTTAATCTCAGTACGAACCATAGAGACCTGGAGGTCTGTAGAGACAGGCAGTGATGAGGAAATCATGTGGTTGGGTTTAAAGCCAATGAGAAAGTAGAAGAGAAAGGCAATAAAAAGACAGGTCACAAAGAAGGTCTCTCTCAGGGGAAGGACGGCAGTGACTGATAAGTTAAAGGCTTCTCTAGTGCTCTGATCTTTTGGGCTTTTAACTCTGCATTTGGCTCTGTGTTTCTTATTTAATAAGACTGTTTAGAATTTCATCTACAGAAAAATTTCAAATTACAAACAAAAAAGAAGTTGAGAAAATTCACTATGTGCAGTTTCTCATGTGAGTCTGATGCCTTCGAGACTTACTGAATGCCAGGCATGAGAACTAGCATCAGGAAACTGTAAATAAACACATGGCGACATATGTTAAGGGCCACAAAGGAAATATACAGCATCTGCTAGACCGTGTGGTGGTAGGAGGAAGGTGAGAGCGACCTCAAGGATAGAGGACAGTGGGGAGAGGAAGGATTTGTGGACATAAGCTGCATGAAAGGCGCTTCAAGTCGTAAGAAGAGAAGATGCAGATGATCTGAAGTAGAGAAGATGGAGGCTCTGAGGGGTGGAAAGCTGTGTGTTGGTGAGAGCACAGAACTGGTGGCAGTCGGACAATCTCTTGAAAGGTTTAAACTGACAGGGTCTGCGCTCTCTTCTTCACATCCCAGGGGAAAAACTTTGTTCCACAGGGTCCTTTCCCACACACTTCCAGTTGTGTGACGATCAGCCTGTCTGTGGGTTCAGTTAATCTTGAGCTGGCTCATAAGTAAGTGAGAAACCAGGGACACTGGTTTCTTCAGCTCTTCAGGGGAAGCATTTAGAGAACTAAGGATATTATTATTAGTATTATTTTGTTTTTTAATAACTTTTCACTTTTTGAGATTATAATTACATTATCTGCCCATTCCCTTACCTCCCTCTAATCCTTCCCAAGTTGACCTACTCTTTGCTCTCATTCAAATTCATAGCTTCTTTTTCTTTAATTATTATTACATATGTGCATATGTATGTATATATGTATATATTCATAAATATATAAATACAATCTGCTCAGTCTGTATGTTACTTGAATGTGTATGTTTTCAGGCCTGACCACTTGGTATTGGATAACCAATTGTCAAGTTTTTCCCTTATTAATTCTTTTAAAAAGGAGATTCATTAGAATCTAGAAACTTCTGAGCTATTTCTTTTTTTAAGATTTTGACACACAAACGCTTATAGCTGAGTTTCTCCCTTGTCAACTCTGGCACACTAGGGCGCTTTTATGGAATGGAAAATACACTTAGCAGTTAATAACAGAGTAACTATTGTTACTGAGAGTGGTATATTGTTATGTCACTATCATTTTTAACAGCTATCATTTTGATTGCTTATTAAGTACCAATTGCTGCTATGTTTTACATACATAATGTCTTTGACATTTTATGATAATTTATTTATAAAACTCAGATCAGAATTAATTTTCCAGGCTAGGCATGATGGCATATACTTTTAGCCCCAGCACTTGAGAGGCAGAGACAGGCAGATTTCTGTGAATTCAATGCCAGTCTAGTCTACATTGCAAGTTCCAGGACAGCCGGGGCTACATATAGAAACCCTGTCGCAAATAATAGCAAAAACAAAAACAAAAAACACCTTGCCAAAGTCAAAGTTAGGCAGTGGAGGAAAGAAAAAGTCTTTAACCATACATTGCCCAACAAGAAAGTAAACAGTCACGAGTGTGTCTATTTCAACTCACAGTGTATAAAATTGCCCAAAATAAAAAGTTCATTTTCTGTTTCTCCTGCTACATGTCAAGTGTTTAATAGTCACATGTCACTTGTGGCTAGTTGTGCACATAACAGATATGGAATTTTTATTTTTTCAGCCTGGGTATGTGGGTAACTTCAAAATGGATGTATAGTTGAAAATTAGCCTATACTCAAGTTCTTTCCCAGTGCTGGAATTATAGATATATGCAACCACACACAGTTTTATGCTGTTTGGGAGAAGAAACCCTGAGCCTTTTGATAGACAAACATTGTACCAACTGAGCCATATCCATACCACCTAGCTATGTGATGATTATTTCATACTTACATTGCCATAGTACCATTAAAAAGTGGTAATTGTTTCACCTTTACATTGTCTGCATATTTTGTCATTTGTGCTGTTAATTGATGTCTGAAAAGCTAATCAAAGCTTTTCCCTGCTAATGCAGCTTCTCTTCTGCTCACCCTGCGGCAGGTCCAGAGAAAGCTAAGCAGGTCTCCTGGGACCACATCCTCCAGCACCATGTAAAGTGGCATCTTTTCTGTGCAGCATCCTTCCAGCTGTACCAGGTTCTTGTGTTTCCCCAGGTACTGATAGAATTGGATCCGCCCTATGAAATCCTGGACCTCCTGGAGTCCAGCAGGTTCTATGGAAACAGAAGAACTGGGTCAGTGAATAGTCAGTCAAGTGCAGCTGATGAGTAAGAGGCAAGAAGCAAAAGACACATGCAGATGGTGTTGTTCAAGGCCCCTTGTGGAAGAGAGACCAAAAGTGGAAGAAGTGCAGCCAGAAAGGGGACAGGAGGGGAGCCATGTAGAGGAGAGTGATACTCAGTCACTTTAACAGGAATAATACAGAGTCACAGAAAGAATACAGAGTCAGGGGTCTTAGACCTGGATAGGTTTTCACTTGCCTGAGTGTTCTGTTCATATTACATCACTGTCTGGGTTTTTTGATGGACACTTTTGCTTATGTTTAGCCCTTCCTTGTTTTATGTTCTATGTATCCAGTGCTAATTGTGTATACAGAGAGAAAGAAAGGGGAGGAAGGGAAAGAGACACAGTATCAGGGAAGAGTATATTGTTTGCAGTTCCTGTTAATATTTACAGGTATAGGCTCACAGCAGAGAGTAAAAGAGGAGAGAAGTTGATCTTCATACTTTACCTTCTAAAGTCTTGAGGACAACACTCTTTGGCTTAGGGTTGTCCCTGGTGGTCATCGTGGCATGATAGAGGGTCCCAAAACTGCCACTGTGGATCTTCTCCAGAACATCTGAGAGTTGTTCCCTAGGCACCTGCAGCTTAGCCAGGCGAGGCAAGGCTGCTCGTAGAAAGCTCTCCACGGAGGTCTCCTTAAGTGGTACAAGCACCTTTTCTCCTTGTCCTGCTGGCTCCAGGCTTAGGTCTCTAGATGCAGGTACAGAAGCAGTACCTAGAACAAAGAGACAATGTCCACCAGCTGTCCCCTGCCTTAGGGACACCAGAAAAGCAGACTTAACAAACTGGCCAGTCAGATTTCTCAATGAATAACACAAGGACATCTTCTGATGCTGAATGAATACGACCACTAAGCTTCTACAATAGTCACAATTATTCCATTACTTATAGAAAAACTAAAGATGAATCCCTTGAAAGTGGTCATTTTTCTTTTTTATCATCCTTGGGATTACCTTCAGTGTTTCTATGAATGTAGCACAGAGACAGGACAAGTCTCAAAAGGAATCCCCACCAAAGGTACCAAAAGGTGGTGATCACTGATTCAGTAAGTATCACCATATGCCATACACTGTCTGTGAGTTGGATAGGCACAGTTCATATCCACCTAAGGTTAGTTTCTAATCAGAGGACATAGAACATTAAGAATGGATGAGGCAGTATGTTATGGGGGAAAATAGCAAAAGGAGATACTATTTTATCTATAGAGGTAAAAACAAAAAAGACCTTTCAGATATGATAACATTTAACAAAGGCCTAGAAACAATTACAGAGCAAACCATGATGACACTGTAGGAGATGGAACAAGATGCATGAAGGCACCAAGAAAAGAATGCATGCACATGGGGTGTTTAAGAAGCCACAAGGAAGGCAGTACAGATGGAAACCAAGTGGGATGGCTGGAGAGATAAGAGACAGAGACAGAGAGTCCAGATCATACAAGGCCGTGGGAAGAACCTTGCAATTTTCCATTCTGTGGGAGACAACAAGCTATTGGAGGGTCTTAAACCATATGAACTGAGAGACCAGTCAAGGCATTCATGAATTATTTTGCCTTGTCAAGGAGGAACTAGATCATTATAGAGCTAGAAGCAGTTATAGAGAAAACCATTAGGAGTGCAAGATGTAAGTAGCTTGGGTTTATAATTCATAAGATCTGATGATAGGTTGGGCCTATTGAGACCTTAGCATAGATCTTAAAATAGATCTTCTCTGAGCCCATGCCTAGCTCCACGGTTTGAGCCTTACCCCGGGGTCCAGGGCGCTGCCTTTGGGATCTCTGTCCTCTAATAAAAAGCCACAGGATGATTGCAAGAAGGATAAGGAAGCCGCCAACCAGAAGAGCTGGAACAATGATGACTTCATACTGTTGCTCTTGGACAACTGTGTAGGCAATAATCAGGAAGTGAGAAGTCTGCAGGATCCCCCTACCCACCATATCCCAGTGCTCCTGGTATGTGGTTGACATATTGTGCACCCCAATAAATTTATCTGGGGTCAGAGGACAGAACAGCCACTAGACAGACATAGAGGCCAGAAAATGGTGGCACTCACACCTTTAATCCTGGCCTTCTGGAGGCAGAGATCCATCCAGAGCTCAGTGAGTTCAAAGCCACACTGGAAACAGCCAGGCATGGTGACTCACGCCTTTAATCCCAGGAAGTGATGGCAGAAAGCACAAAGGTATATAAGGCCTGAGGACCAGGAGCTAGAGCTGGTTAAGCTTTTAGGCTTTTGAGCAGCAGTTCAGCTGAGGCCCATTTAGATGATGACACAGAGGCTTCCAGTCTGAAGAAACAGGATCAGAATTGGCAAAGTGAGGTAGCTGTGGCTTGTTCTGCTTCTCTGATCTTCCAGCGTTCACCCTAATACCTGGCTCCAGGTTTGTTTTTATTAATAAGGCCATTTAAGATTCATGCTACACTGGCATTCCCTCATTCTCTTCAATGGAGGCCCATGGAGGGCAACCCTGCATCTTAGACCAATGAGGGACATTTCTTCTATCCTGATCTCTGATTGGCATGGATCCCACACCACAGACATGATGCCTGCTAGAAATGATACCAGCCCTCCTCTTCTAGAACCACCCAGAACTCAGTCTCTATTGCTACAGAATCATATAACAGGAAGTTGTGTCTGCTCTTACCACACAGCTTATCACTGAGACTGCACTCCAACAGTACTCGGCTTGGGCGACCCTTCTCTCCCATTGCCACAGGGCCAGCCTCCTCTGCTAGGCCCACAGAGGGTGCACAGAGCACAGCCACAGTGATATGTTGTTTGCAAGAACTGTGTGTGTTATTCTAGAAAAAAAAAGAGCACATGAAGAAATTTTAAATACAACTATGAATCTCTAGTTACTAAGCATACAGTGCCCTTTCTGAGCTACCTACTTCTCTCTGCTCTTTCATCTGGAATTCAGGCTGAAGGAACATTCTTTATCTCCTGAAGCATTTTCTTTTCTTATACATCTTTCAAACCTTGATCCCTTCATTTCATTCTTACTGAAATTATTTTAAGGACGCCCTACACTTCTGTGACCATGCTGAAGTAGGGACCCACAGCAACATCTGACCACTGGTAGAATATCTACCCCCACTACAGCCTTGAAGCATCTTAAATTCCTTTCAGCTGCATGTCACATTTTTTTTTTACACATAACATTTCATTACACCTTTTACTCGGACAATAAATGAATGTTCAACAAATGTCAAAAGAGATGATTCATGCTATTGCTTGCCTATTCTGAGACACCTGCACCCTCAGAACAAATAAGTAGACAGCATTTGTCAATGAAAGCTATTTAATCCCTCAGCTCTCAAAGCTTGTGTGGACCTTCTCTACACCCACCAGGTGTAGTCAAACAAACCCACATTCTGACCAGGTCATAGACTATAGAAAGTGTCACTATAGAAAGAGACACCTTTTATTTTTCTCACTCCTTTAAATAAAAAAAATGCATCTATACATAAATGTGTTTCAAATGTAGAGCTGAGGAGTCAACTCAGTATGTAAAGTGCTAGCTGTGAGGGCCTGAGGACCTGAGTTTGGACCTCTGGAACTCATGTATCTGAAATCCCAGCTCTCCTAAATGAGATGCAGAGAAAAGAGAGCCCCTAAAACATGCAGGCCAGCTAACCTGGCACCCATTGCAGGAAAAACAACTAACAGAGCCTAGAAGGCAAGGACTGACACCAGAGGATGTCTTCCACACTAATGTAGTAGTATGCAGGCACTCACATTCAAAGATAAAATCAAAGCAGAAAAATGTTTCCCATTCCAGTTACCAATTTTCCAAATAGATTACAGTTCCTAGTTTACTGTCTATTGTTGGAGATTCTTTTTATTATTAATATAGTTTGTCCTTTGAAAGTTTCATACAAGTATATAATACATTGTGGTTCTCTCCCACCACACACACACACACACACACACACACACACACAAAACCCTCTTATTTCCCTACCGCCCCTGCCAGCACCCTATCATCCTTACAAATCTCTTTCCTTTATTTACTAGTTTATTGCTTTGTTTTGTTGTTGTTTCAGTGTCTCATAGGGTTTAACTAGGGCTATCTGTGTGACCCTGAATCACCAATGACTACATATACAACTGGCTGCTTTGCCTCCCACTCTGCTTAATCTATTCATTCACAGTAGATCAGCAGCAAGTGGTAGGGCCCAGAGAGCCCCTGCTCCCTCTGGAGCAGATTGTCGGGAGCACCCGACTGTGTGGAAGTAGTGCTACTGCTCACAGGCACAGCTGCTGTGACTGAGCAGGTTCTAATCACATGCAACAACTCCATAAAACCCACACACACATCTTTTAAGCGACATCTCCAGACCTGTTTCTTTCTGAAGAGAAGCAATAATTCCCACTGTTCTACATATCTAGCTACCTTCCCTATGCCCTTGCCCAGAGATGTGGTGGCTCTGGAGTGAGCACACCCTACCGCTTTCATTCTAACGAGTCTGAAACAAAACACAGAGATTTTCCTGCTAAGTAATCCTGTGTAGTCTCATTTTGTAGTGATTTGATAAAAACAAAACCGAAACCTGCCGGGCGGTGGTGGCGCACACCTTTAATCCCAGCACTCGGGAGGCAGAGGCAGGCGGATCTCTGTGAGTTTGAGGCTAGCCTGGGCTACCAAGTGAGTTCCAGGAAAGGCGCAAAGCTACACAGAGAAACCCTGTCTCAAAAAAACAAACAAACAAACAAACAAAAAAAAAAAAAAAAAAACACCGGAAGTGCAGCTGACACGACGTGATGCTAAATCGTCTGTTAGCCATCTTAGGCCTCCTATGGTTACACACTGAGTCTTAGTATTGACACTAGTGACCAGCGTGCTACTTAGTGAAGCACAGACTCTGCTCAAAAAACATAAAGAAATCTCCCAGCTCCAGCCTCATGCCTTTTCACTTTTCCCTGTTCCACGAGTACATATTGTGAATCACAATTAAACAACTCAGAAGGGAGACAGGTATGTGGCCAGCTAATCAGATATGGGTAAGAAGGAAAGGCTGCAAGCAAGAGAGGGAAATTTACCAGGCTATTCCGGCACTGGGGAGGCAGAGGCAGGTGGATCTCTTGAGTTTGAGGCCACCCGGGTCTACATAGTGAGTTTCACAACAGTCAGGAGTTCATATCTATCTCAAAAAAAAAAAAAAAAAAAAAAAAACAGAGAGAGAACTTTTGGCCTGTGAGTTTTTACACAGCAAGGAATCCATGAAACCAGTGAACAACTGGACAGCAAAGTCTACCTCATGTAGAACCAAACAAGCAAAGAGGAAAGCAGTTCAGAAAGCTCCCACCCTCCCGACACCACAGGTCAGGAGCAAAGGAGCACTGTGGGAGCCAAGGAGAAGGCCCAGAAACTAACCCTGAGCTCAGCTGGGTCCTCAGAGCCTGTTTGAAAATGTCTCAAGGCTGTAGGCATTCTTTTCATTTCCTCTCGCTTCCTTTGCAGGACCTTATCAGATGTAAGTAATTATTTTTGTTCAGGGAGCAGCCAGTTGAACGAGTTTGGCTCTCTGGGGAGTAGGTGCTAGGAACACAATCTCTCTACACAGTACATATGGAAAAACAGAGTCAGTCAGCAGCCAGCTCAGACTGTGAGCTCTGCCCGAAAACCAAACTACACGCCCACTAGCACATAAGGAAGTAACCTGAAGACGTGCACAGACCCCACGCTGAACTGGCTATGGCCAAACACACCTTCCCTCAGTGACCCAAACCCTCCCTTCTTCCTCCATGCCTGGAGATACAGAACATCCACCTTAAGATACCACACGGCCTTCACTTTTACTTCCTGATCCAGGTTCTCGCCATGGCTTCTCCTTGTCTCTGGTAGTTTAACGAAACTAGGATTATTAATACACAGCAAGCCAATGAAGCTGGATGCTAGAGTGAGGAAGCAAATGTACTCTGTGAAGCAACTTCCAAGATATTCATATGGGCTTAGGGAAGACTTTTGGGTAAAGGTATTTGCTGTGCTAGCCTGACAATCTGACCTCAATCCCCAAGACCCACATGGTGGAAGTGAGATCTCCCAAAATTTGGCCTCTGACTTCCACACAGGCATCATGGCAAGTTACAGTTTGCCAAAAGTCATGTGGCATTATAACAACTGAGTCCAGGATTTTTAAAATTTGCACACCAGGCATACTTACTAAGCATACCCAGATAGTCATAAAATAAGCAGAAAACCTTGCCACACAGACCCTGTATCCCTCCAAGTTTATACAAAAGGAAGATATTCACAGTTGGTTGTCACAGCAAAATTATTTGCTATACCACTTTCCCCCTGAAATTAGTGACTGATTAGCAAATGGCTTTGTCTATTGCTCTGTATCAAGCTGAGAAAAGGCATGCCTTGATGCCATCCTCTGGGATGGTTCTTATGAAGACTTAATCTGTCTCTTTTAGAAGAATCCTATAGCCAACATTTATACTTACATAGTAAATATATTAAATTAATTCATAATACCAATAAATAGGTATAATATAGTTAAGTGTTGGAGTCCTAAGTCCCATAGCCCATAACCACTAATAAATTTTTAAATCCCATGTGGCATCTACCTACAGGGTAAGATAGGTCACTTAGGTACCTGAGAAGAACACTAATGGATTAATAATATAATTTAAGTTATAAATATATTATCTATTAAGACCATATTTATAACAACACTATATTAATATTTAGATAATTTTCTTGTTAAAAAATTATAGCATGGCTACAGCTTCTCTTATATGGACTGCAAAATAGTTAAGAAGGTAAAGCATTAGTCCACACTTAGTGCAACAAATAACAGAAGGCATGCACTGGGATAAAGGGACTCTTGCAGCTGTGAGTTCTTTATTCTCACCCTCATTTGACACTTGCAAAACATGTCTGTATATAGCTTGCCTGCAGTTTGCATGCATCTGTGTTTGCCAAATCTCACCAGGCAGAATTCTATCTGAAACAAGAATACTGCCTCACCTGTGGATTGTTATTCCTTGCTTTATTTCCTCTCAGCTACTTCAATGTCTTAATTTTCCTATAAGAGGTTTAATCCCCTCACCTGAATTGAGAATCCATCACACAGCGACAAAGCAGACACAATACAAAGTGCATGAGAGTGAAAGGGGGGTGAAGGCCCTAATTGGTTGCAAGACAACATTCTGAAGAATCTAGAAGTTTGTGATAATTAGAGTTTAACTAAATATCAATACCAACTCTCCAACCGCTACATGGATTCACAACACAATCACAAACCACAGGGCGTTTCTGCACCTGTTTCAATACATCAGAGGCAAATCTTCTTGCAACAATAACACAATCCTTGTTCCAGACTTTTCTGTTTAGTTAGCACAGTGTCATCACCACCACCACCCCCAAGACACAATCACCAATCTACCCACAAGTTTCCAAAAGAAACTTTCCCCACCAAAGTACAGCCATGTACTTTGAAAATCAAACTTGTCCTGCTGGAACGAAACTTCTACACGTGCTGTGGAAACTTCCTTGGAACGACATCTGACTCTGTTCCACTGAGGTGTGATTCTGTCTGTCTGAAGCTTCATTCCCAGTCTCAGCATCTATATAACAGCCCTTGTGGCTCTGCCAGCAAGGTGGTTTTCAAAGATCCAAGTGACCCACCTGCTGGAAAATACAATGGGTCCAGGGAGTTATTAATCGTTATGAGCTATGGGGCAGAGGAATTGAATACTTTAAATGAGGAAAAATTTTATGGAGGAGGGAGCCTAGGCTGAGAGGGTCTACTTTTGTTCCTCAATCATTGACTGCCCTTTTCTCCGGTCT